CCGCTCTCTTCTCCCCCCCTCTCTCTCTCCCCCCTCTCTCTCTCTCTCTCTCTCTCTCTCTCTCTCTCTCTCTCTCTCTCTCTCTCTCTCTCTCTCACTTGAGGTCACTGCGCACACCCAGTCAGGACTCTTATTCCTGCTTCCCCAACACATTTGAGATAAATCCTGATTCTTTATGCATTTTTAGTTGAGAAGAGATTTTGCTTAGACCTTTGCACACTTGAAGCCACATAAGAACATAGCAATTGTATTCCATTCCTGGAGTTGCCATAATGAATCGCTACAAAGCAGGTATAAAACAACAGAAGTTTATCCCCTCACAGACCTAGAGTCCAGATGTCTGAAATCAGGGTGTTGGAGGACCGTGCTGTCTCTGAGGCCCCATGGGAAAACCAGTTATATGCCTTTCACCTAACTTCTGATTTTTCTGGTAACTTTGGGCCTTCCTGGGCTAGTAGACACCTTAGTCCAATCTCTGCCTCCATGACCACGTGATATTCCTTCTGTGTCTCTTCTCTAATAAGGACACCAGCTGTATTATATTACTAGCTCACACTACTATGCTATGACCACATTTACACTAATTTCATTACTTCCAACTATGTTCATATTCTGACAAATCAATTGTGATGGTTGGTCTTATGTCAACTTGATTGGGCCAAGGTGCCCAGGTATGTAGTCACATTCTTCTAGATATTTTTGAGGATGTGTTTGGATGAGTTTAACATTTAAATTAATAGGTTTCAAAAAAGTCAGATTGTCTTCAGAAGGTAGATAGGCCTCTATCAATCAAATGAAGGCCTCAGAGGAAAAAAGACTTCTCTCTCAAGAAACAGAAGGAATTCTGCCAGCAAAGAGTCTTTGAATGTGAACTACGGCACTGATTCTTCCCAGATCTCCGGCCTGATGTCCCAGCCTACAAGTTTTGTACTCTCCAGCATCCAGAATTATTTACAACAGCACTCTCTTCCTCCCTCCTACACACATCCTGTTCTTGGGAGAACTCTGGCTGGCCCACCATCTACTATGATGTGATTTGGTTTGCACATGCCCGCTCCCCATTTCATGTGTTGAAATTGAATCCCCATTGTGAGCTATTATCGGGGTGGAAACAGTCCAACTGTGACGTTTAGAAGGGGAGCCTTAGAGGAGCACCCAGAAGATACACACATGCCTGCTCTCTCTCTGCCATCTGACGTCCCCCACGCCCCGGAGACTGGGAGTCAGAGATCACTTCTAGATGCATCCCTCAACTTTATATCTCTACAACTGTGAGTCAAAAGAAGCCTCTTTACTTTGTAACTTATACAGGCTGTCATACTGTGTTATGAGGATCAGAAAACAGGCAAATACATTATGTCATCTAGTCTAGGAGTATAGATGAAATATAGCGAAGGTATTTCACAGAACACCTATTATTTATTTGTGCTCAGAAATGAGGAGCCAGCCTTCAGGTACTCAAGTTTTTGCACACTAGAGCAATAGCATCAGTGTGACATAGTCCTAACTTGTCATTATTTCTGAATGGCAAGGTGTTCCAGGGAATTCAAATTATAGTGTGGCCAGGCATGGTGACACATGTCTGTAAGCCCATTATTTGGGAGGCTGAGGCAGGAGGATTGCCATGAGTTCAAGGCAAACATGGGCTACATAGTGAAGACCCTGTCTCAAAACAACAACAACAACAACATTACAGTGTAGTGGGGTTGAAGGGCTATGACTAGGCATATCTTATATCATGGGTTTTCACAGTACAAGCTTTCAACACCTTGAGGGTCCTTGAGTCCCTTTCAGGGAGTCAAGATTATGGTCGTCATCATACTGAGATATTCTTTGTCTATTTTACTGTGCTGACATTTACACCGATTGCAAAACGGCAATGTACTTCAGCAGGAGTTAACAGAATGCCACTGAACATTGTTTTCTTACTGCCATGTGCCAGGGAAATAGAAAGAAATTTTACTTAAGAATGTCCTTGAAAGAGCAATACATATTTATAAACTATATTAATCTGACATTTTTGTGATATGAAGCACTTGGGATTCATATTAAAATATAATGGCTTTGTTGAGGAAAGGCACTTGTGTGTTTGAGTTGCTAGCTGAACTAGCCACTTCTTCATAGAACCTCATTTTACTTGAGACTAATTGACATTTGGTTATTCAGACTTGGGTATTGGACCAATATTTTCATGAAAGTAACCAAAATGAGCCTATCACTTATAGATAAACAGATAACATTATTTGCCATGAATGATAAAACATAAACTTTCAAGAGATAATTAGAATTTTTCAGCTCCCATTGTAAGCTGAACAAGCTCTCAGATGAGATTTTTGGTGATATTAAATGAACATGAGTTTTTATTATAAATGAACCATGTTGAGATTTAGAGTTTTTGTCTAATACACTGAATGAACCACTTTTGGAAGACCAAAACAAGATGTTACAAAATGCAGAATGGGTAAAAGATTAATTTAAATCCAAAATAATAGATTTCAGCATTCATTCCTAAAGTTTTAGCTTATACCCTGAAGCTCACATTAAAAACAAACAAAAAAACAAAACAAAACAAAACAAACTACCACTTAAATTGCGGTACCAAATTTTGGTAACTCCTGCAACTCTTATCCACCACTAATTTTGTGGTTTTAGTGTAAACATCAACAAAGTAAAGGTAAGGAATATCTTTATAGGGTTATGACAGCCTGTTAAATATACCATGGTTTCTATGGTATAGATCTGGATAAGGTTAGACTTTCTTTATATACTCAAACAAATGCAGTGTAGTAAAACATAGTGAAGACAAAAACATGTAAAAGAGCCTTTCTGTCTTCTATTAACCCAGACATTAAAGAGATGTGGAAAAACTGTGCTATTTGAAAACATAGTAATTATCTAATATATTATTTATTCTGATGTATAGATTTTAATGTTTTAAGATGCCATATTATATTTTCCAATACAGTAAGTGTTTATAGACATATTCCAAACGAACAAGATATTTTTTATAGTTATCAGTTTTTGAGTAGGTAAACATTGGTTCCGAGGTAAACACATTCGGTCTAGAATTACAACTCCGGGCCATGGTACCATGTAAGAATGTTATGATTTAGATCTAAAACGTCTCCTAAGGGTTCTGTGTGTTTGCAGTGAGCTTGCATCATGGGGGCACTGTACATATCAGTAGATTCTTCCATTTATAAGTTCAGCAGCTGAATGTGCTCTTAGGAGGTGGGGCCTGATTAGAGATGGGTCACTGGGAGCATCACCTACGAAAGTAGATTCTTAGCCCTGGCTCTTCCCTTCTCTCTGTGCTTTCTGGGGTTGAGGACCTTTTCTTTTGCTGTGTCCTCCTGCCATCCTGTTTCTGCCGTGGAGTCAGCTGACCATGAACTAACAGCATGGGCCAAAATAAACCTCTTCTCCTTTAAGTTGTGCCTGTTGGGTATTTTAACTCGGTGATGAGAAAACACCCAACACAGATTTTGCTACCAGAGAAGGGAGGCTATAGCTCTGATTGTACATGACCATACAAATACTAGTTTGTAAAGGTTAGAATATACTGGCTAGAGAAGCTCTAGAATGCTATAGATTGAGCTTGATGGGAGACTCAGGTTTGAACTCAGAAGACCAAAATATTGACAGGAATGAAGACAGGAAAAGCCAGGCTCAGGAGACTTCAGTGAGAAACAAATACCCTACTACCATAGCAATTAGACTATTAGATTTGTATGTTAACCTAGCAAAACATTTTTCTTCAGAATTTTGTCCGTAGTTTGAGACTCTGTGAGAGACCAAGATTAACTAAAAGTGGTGTACTAATTGATCTGGCAGAGGAAGTTCCAAAACAGCTGAACATTCAGGCCATGACATGGATACTGCTAGCTACTTTTAGTCAGATCTACAGTGAAAATTGGGAGCAGTGAAAAGTTTGCAGTTTCTTTTGAAAGGAAGAGCTTACAAGTCAGAGTACATATAGAGCATCTGTTATTGAAAGCATTACCATTAAAAAGAAGCTAAGTGCTTTGCATCAATATAAGAAAGGTAGCTTGAATCCATCTCACAAATCAACAAGATCCCATTCTTTGCAGGTTCAAAGGCCCCCTGTTTCAAAAGGACCTGCTAGGAAAGGTTCCTGAAATTCTTTTAATAGAGGTCAGCTATCCTGGCATTCAGAGGCCAAGACAGCTGTGATCTTAGGGGGCCTTGTTACTGCTTGAGCTGATGGCAGTGGTTAGAGTCATCAATATGGCACTGGTTTTATAGGTATGCAGAATATACAAGTTACCCGATCTTAAGAGGATTCCATCAAAATTTCAGAAGGCCTGGGAAGCCAGGCAGTATGCTCCTGAGAGGGCACTGTGTGAGAATAACATCAAAATGTAGTGGAGACCCCAAGAGAGGTCACACGGGCTGCAACTGTCAATGCCATAGAGGTAGGGATGCCAAAATGTTTTGGAGCTTATCTCTCCCTACAACCTGCCATGGGTGCTGGACATGGAGCTACAGGATTTGATGGTGTGTGGGAGTGTGTGTGTGTGTGTGTGTGTGTGCGTGCGTGCACGCGTGTGTATTAAATGTATTTATACTATATCTATGATATATATCTATATAGATATTTATAGATGTGGATATATATGGTGAGAGAATGAGCTACGTCCCCAGCCCATTTTAAATTAAAAAAAATTATTTTGATACAAGGTCTTGCTAAGCTGTTCAGGCTGACATCAAACTTGTGATTGTACTATTTTATCCTCTCAGAGTTCCGGGAGTACAGATGTGTGCCACCACGCCCAGCTTCTTTAATGTTTGAACCATCATTTAACATCCATATTTCCACCTTATTCAATATCGCTATCCTGCCTGCAGTCACAAATATGTTGCTCTGTACCTGGTGATGGTCACTTTTCTCCCCTGATATCCTGTAACTGTAATACTGTAATATAAATTTAAATATCATTACTACAATTTATGTCAGATGATATCGAAATCGGGGAGAAGGCAAAAATATTTGGTTAATTTATATACAAACACATTTAATAGTAAAATAAATAGGAAGTATAACTATTTAGCTCCTCATTTCCGCAGCTAATCATGTGCTCATAGCTTGTTTTTATAACTACTCTCCTCTACTACCCATTCTACATTCCCTCTGCACTTAGTAAGAAATAATAATAACCCTCAGTCTGTCATGGTTCTTCTTTGTCTTGTGGAATGACCCGAATTATTTGTTCCTGAAGGATCAACACTATTAGCAGTTCTGTCTGATTTGGGTTGGGACAGATATCTACTGATTTTCATTACAGGACCTAAGAGTTAAGAGATAACCCAGGGAACTCTTGTGTTTCAGACATATTTTTCTTACATCCAATGTATAACAGCAGCCCAGTTTGCACTCGTTAATCAAGACCAATCAACCTAGCTGATAAAATAAAGCCATTTTCCTCCTGTTGATATAGAAGCATAAAGAACTCAAGGTGGCTTGTTGGCAGATTGATTATAATGGACTGCTTCCAACACAGGAAGGATAGTTCTATGCTCTTCCTGGAGTAGGAACTTATTCAGGGTATAAATTTGCCTTCCCTGCATACATCATACACTTGGTCAAAATACTCTCTGGAGACCCATGGGTTACTTATTGACTTATGTTTCAACTGATGACCATATTCCTGGGATTGTGACTATGGTGATGATACTTTCTTATATGAACATTAGAAGAACAGTTTGTATTCAATTGTAGGGATGAGTTTGGTGCTATGTAGACAAGTCAGAGTTTAAAATGAAACTCTGCCAAGCATCAATGAGTATTGCCTGTTGGAAGCACCATACTGAATGCAGTAAGAGAAAGAAGATAATAAGGACATTCCTATCATGGTACAGATAGGTGAAAAAGCCAAGGAAAAGCAATGACGTGAGAACATAAAGAAATGCGTATGTTAAATTACATGACTTCTAATACTTTAGAGTTTATGGTTTTTTACAAAGAAAATCATGTGTTTTGCTGGTCCTCTGTGCAAAGAAGTATGAAAAACAGGGTGGAAAAATCTGTACTACAAATCTAATACTTTTTGCTATCTCATTCAAAAAACTGAACAAAGGTTTAAAAAACCATAAGCTCTCATTCATTCAACAAGATCTTATTCGGAAAAACATATACGGTGACATTAATTTAGGCATTGAGCATACAAAATTTAATATTTCTAAACCTCAAGAAATTAAAGCTTTGATGAAAAGTGGGACCTAAATTCTGCATTTGAATTTGATAGGAACA